GTCATTGAATTAGGAGTGTTTACAAAGGAACGTTGTTTCAATTTATGAATAGTATTGTTTTAATGTTGAGTTTTGCAGTTAAAATTGTAAAGCACTGAACTATTTCTGGTGCTTAAAAGAAACTTTTTACAGCCTTGCTGGGGGGGGGGGGAGTCTTGTACATTTGTATTCTAAATTGAGATTTAATGCCATAGACAACTACGTTGACAAATCAAGCCAAACCAAGGAAAAACACCCAAACACCTGTTAAAATATCACCTTCTACTTGAACATGGCATGTGGATTATTCCCAGTTGTACAAACTCTAAGTCACTAAATCATTTCAATTTTAATATCCCAGCGAGAAAAGAATCTACTGTGGTCTGGAGTCAGTGACACCTGCATGGTGCATAAAGTTGGGGGGAAAATCAATATAGCTAAATGTATTTATTTATTTATTTATGATGAATACATGTATCGATAATGAGGGGAAAAGGACCATATTAAAGGCATCCGGAAGAAGCATTTGCAGTTATCCCAAAAGCTACCTACCAAATTATTATCAATTATTATAAGAAAAAACTTACTTGGAATAAAGATCGCACTGGTACTGCTGCATTTAGACCAGTCAATTGACTGAAGTTTTGGAAACAGAGAGTATTATCAATGAAATCTTGTTTCGTGATCAAAGGTTGTGTATGGTTTTCAGTGTCTTCTCGAAAAGTGTCACATCCGCTGAGCTGAAATTTCAACAGGTGACTGTAGGTTTTGAACAGTCTTCTTTGGATTTTGAGTGATGTAAGTATTAGAAAGGAACAAAATTCATGCAAAGCAAATTTATGATACCATATGCCTTTAATTTATGATACTATATGCCTTTAATTGGAAAAAATGTTAAAACAAGAACAGTTTGGTTTTGAATTTTAACTGAGTTGCAGGCCTGTGTACTGGGAGTGTACACCCTCCCCCCTCCACCCCCCCCCCCCCCCAAAAAAGTTCCAAATTTTTCACCATTTTTTACCAATGTGTATTTATTTTTTACCAAAAATAATAATCACAATATTATTTCCCACCACATAATAGCTCGAAGATATTGATCATCCACCACCCATTTCACCTAAATTCAGCAGGACAATTGCTAATACATGTATTCTCATATGTATACGTACGTGTTTGAACAGTGCCCCCTAGAGTCCAATAACATCCAACCTCCCACCCGATACTTTTTTTTAGTGAGTTTTAATACCTGGGGCGCCATATTCGGATTGGATGAAACGATCAATATATTGGATGAGAATCAAAACTGGAAGACACTAGACTCAAGCAAACTTACTTCAGCAGTTCAAAAAATCAATTTATGTTCAGGTGCATTTTTTTTTCTTCGAAAGGGAGTGGGGGGGGGGGGGGTTGGGTTCGGAGAACGGGATGAAAGATGCACTCGCCAATAGATTTCATATCAGTGTGAATGTATGACACCGGATAGTGGTAAGGTTATGGCATGTATGTCATTAGGTCAGGAGATCGTGTTATCAGATGCCTCCGAGAGGATTTAGTTTCCTCCCACCGCGTGCATATATATCCATCCTACTGTATAATATTTTAGCTGAAAAGCGGCCAGTGTATCCCCTTTCATAGTGGCAAGTGTGTGTCCGTTGTTTTTCGTATCATTTTTTTCACTCCCCCTTTTTTCCTTTTTTTTTTGACGGTCATATGATAATGGTCGTATTCTGGAAAAAATTGTGTGCCACTTTTATATTGCGGGCAGTGCTCCCTGTTTAAACAACAGGAAAACAGAACAGTTTAAGTTACATTGTTAGGATCTTTTTTCTAAATTGTTCCAATGGTGTCCTATGATTGTGCCTGTACTTTATTGAAAGGATCTGTGCTCAAGGTACCAGTTAGAGTAAGTACCGGTTCATGTACGCAATAATTTAAGCAAGTATTAATATGCTACAGATTTAAATTAATCACATTCAAGCCATGCATTCAAAACAATCAACTGACAAAGTTTTTACTTGTGAATAGAATTACCGAGCTATTAATGTTTTACTTTTTTATTTGAGCGAGGCACTTTTATAAATAAGGACGGAAAAAAAGGGCTTTCTGCTCCCTTAAATTACATTCTATCTGAATTGTTTTGTTAAATTTTAAGATTTACCGTTAGTTTACGTTTTCGGTATTAATAGATTTAACGACCTTTTATTCATAATAATTGAGTCTGTCCATGAACTGTAGAGGGCGCTGTGTGGCCGGCCAGCTCTGTGTGCGGTAAACACGGCATGTGTGTATGGGTTTGCACGTACCGGTACATGTACTGGTACACTGTATATGATGCGAAGTACCCAAGAATAGGGCTGTGCATCGAAACTGGGTACTCAAATACCCGAATGCTCATGTGATGAACTGGTTCCAGATTTACAGATCGGGTACCCGTTACCAACTTTTAAAATTACTTTAATAGTAACTTCTCAGGCAATGAAATAGAAACGTTTCGAATGTCATTTGTGAGGAATTTTCAAAATGAAAACCAGGCTGCTTGGAACAACAAAGCGAAAGTGACATATGTACATGTATCAACATAAAGCTATTGGGGCTTTGGGGTTGGGTTTCTTTAACGGATACCTGGCCAGATACCCGTGGTTTTTTTTTCAATCGAATACCCGGTTCTCGTACTACCCGTCAGTGCACATCGCTACCAAAGAATAATGTTATTGTGATTGTGCACAAACCTGTAGCATCTCCATGTGAACCCCAGCCATATGGAAGCATTTCGTTCTAGAGTTTTTTCAAATTCTCGTTTCGTAACCATTGATGGAACACCTGGACACAGAGTTCCTCGGATTTTGTTGGTAATCAGTAGGCCTTAGAACTCTGAAATGGTGTATTGCTGTCGGTTGATTCTGTTGGATTAAGCAAGGGGCAGAGAGGTAACCCAAGGAGGGTCATGGTTACAGACCTTATGCATTGCAGGTATGGATACGGTATCTCAGAGGGACAGGGTGTTTTTTTCCCACGGCGGTGTGAAACACGCTGTGGGCTTGAGCTGCTTATGTTGGTTGGTTGGTGGACACTTTACTCGGCCATATTGTATTCAAACAACTCAAGTATTACAGCTTTGCAAGTATTACAGCTTTGCATTCGAAGACCAGTTTTGCAAATACTGTTGCGCATGCGTCTAATTTGCATACTTTTTGCATATCATATCACGTCCCATTCCGTTTTGTTTTCTGTACTCTCAAGGTAGCGGTACGGCCCGGGTGCATGGACGGTGCCATATAGCCGTCTTCACACGTTACCTCGCTGCTACCCGGCCGCCATGGGTTGTACCACTTGGTACGTGTTTGTTACAGCAACAGTGAATGCACAAAAGGTTTACTCATGCGTATCCAAGCGATATAAAACCATTGCCATCTAAAGCCGGCCTCAGGTTGACCTTGCGACGACACAGATCAGTCGACGACTGACTTTTCATGATCAAGCTGCGCCTGAGTTACGACCGACCGTCGGGAACATTTCAGTCGCCGATAGTTTTTGCAACCCAAGTGTAACTGCAATATTAGACCATAGGAATTAGTCGGTGCTCTAAAAAATCAACAGTCGCAAGAGTAGAAACATTTCAACTTCTACGATGATGTCGCGACGTCGTCACGCGTCCTGCACGCATCAAGTTCATCCTTTTTCATTGCGTAGCCAATCAGCACACAACACTGGTGCTCCGCGTTCTGCGCAACATAATGCAGTACGCACCATGCGCGTGTCAATCACCATATAAGGAGATTGTTTACTACTACTCGCGAGAGAATATACCATATCATAGCTAGAGGGGTGTTTAAAAAACAGTGAAGTAAAAGTGTTCAATAAAATCGTTAATTGGAAATGTATAATTTTTGACTTGTGTCGACTTTTTGACTCAAAGGTATTTGTGAATGGGAATACAAGTACATTTAAGACCGTATCAGGGGAATGTGCGCTGATAATGGCTCAAGCCGAACTGGCCAAGCACATAATTATTCCCTTATTGTTAAAGAAGTCATATTACTGTCTGATGCTGTGGAATCGTGGTATATCGTCGCGTCTTGGGTGACATGAGCATGGTTGCAATTATTTTGCGTCGGGATGTCGCTTGTTTCAAGAGAATCACACGATTTCTCAGTTTTGTGACTTGAGCATTATTTTTCTGCTTGCTACCCTACGGTTCATCGTGGCGCAAGCAAATCACGGGTCGACCTGAGGCCACCTTAACTCCACCTTAAAGCATTTGGCTATTCTCCCAACCTCTCAGATCATTCAGACTCCACTGGGAGGTTTTTCAAGGATTTTGCAGGAGTGAGGAAGGTAGAGCCAGGCTACTGAACATTACTCGAAAGTTTAAGTATAATGTAGAATGATCCATTGGCTTCCTTCAGAGTGGAGAGGGTTTTGAAAGTTGTTCGAAGGTACATGTACCTAAAAATTAGAGTCCAAGGCAAGTTATGTGCAACTTTGGTTTCCGTCGCTGCAGGAATTTGAGAGATTCAAGAAGGTTTAGAGAAAAAATACTTAATGGACATTTACCGGTAACTATATTCTGTCTTACCAGACCAAAATCTCACTCAGTACCTTTTCACATACGTTTGCATGCCTCACATATGTACGTGTCCAGCCAAGTCCACATCCACAAACCAAAATTTCTGGGTGTTATTTTTTTCTTCAAAGGTTACACATGCAGAAAACACCAGTTAGTACTTGTTAATGCATGTCTACCCTGACCTTACATCATTTTTGTTCCCTTCACGGTCCTCCTGTCCTAGAGTGACGAGAAGCCATCACAAATCTCGCGAGCAAACAAGGCGTGAGGAAACCACACGGCGCAATTGTCACAGCGTGAAGTCAGGCCATCTTCGTTGCATTATCTTCCGGTTGGAGTTAACTTTTTTATGCATTTTGATAAACTCAACCCCTCCCCCTCCCTAATTTTTTTTTTTCCTTTTCTGTCCTCTCTCTCTTTGCTTCTCGTGCTCAACCCCTGTGCGCTCCAACAGTGCCGCTAACAAAGGCAGTTCACACTCTGTCGGAGAGGCAGGCTCCACAAAAGTGGAACCCGATTTTGACGATTGGATGATGCGGATGAGCGGGGCCCATCCTTGCAGGAGAATCACGATCTTACCTACAACTCATCAGCTGATGAAACGGAAGACGGCAAAAGAAGAAGAACAAAAAAAAAATTGTCCGAGGGGTGCTCGGTGATGCCCCGATGACATTAACTGATGTTGGGACATCAGGGTTCCTGACATGGAGGGCAGAGGCAATTTCACAGCTGAAGAACCATAACTATCTTGTTTTCCACTTCCCTCGTTTTTGCATATTCTTGTTCAGGCCTGTTGGTGCTTTGCTCTGTACTAATTTTAAGGAGAAATCCTTACCAGCTGGTTTGATTCCCTCTCGTATGCTTTGAGACTTCTGCTGTTTGAGTGTACGCATCTTGTGTTTCCATTAACTGTCCTTGCAACAGTTTGGAAATAGATGTCGTTTCTGTCTGTCAGTCGGTTATACTGTCTAATGGAAGAGTTATTTCTAAAATGTGATAGGTCCATTTAAAGAAGTGACATTTATCAAAGAATTAAAACAATATAACAGCTGTTTCTAAACTTCATTTTGCCCTGTATTGTCTCTCATTGTCTTTCTCTGACAGGATAGTTTTGTGGTTTACCTTTATTGTCTTTATATTACAAATGTAAGCTACCCCACTATACCTTAAGTTGCAGGTGTGGTTATGTCCATTTTAACGATGTTTGTATCAAAACTCCTTAGAACAAGCATATTTTTTGTGTAAAGCCTATTGTTGGCTTGTCTGCATCTATCTAAAAATTCTTATTACCTCCACCAAGGAGGTTATGTTTTCATTGGATTTTGTTGGTTGGTTAGTTGGTTGGTTTGTCTGTTAACACGATAACTAAAAATGTTATGGACAGATTGGCATGAACACCTTTTTTTTTAGGGGTTGTCATTGGTACAAGTACAAATCGATTAGATTTTGGAAGTGATCCGGATCTGGGTCTGGAACCAGGATTTTTTAAAGTATTCCTCACCATTTATGCGAGTACAATGTATTTCTTTTGGGTGTACTGACAATACGGTGGGGAATTGTTTAGCCTTGATGGAGGTTTGTGCTCTCTGAGTGCTTTCTAGTTTCAGATGTGAAATACATTTTTAACACAATTTTCTGTATTTTACAGCAAAGCACTGTTTAACTCCACTCGTCTGTAGTACTGCCTTTTCTTGCAGTATGTGCTTCCCATGCCGCATAGAAATGTAGTGGTTTTTTTGGGGGTGGGGTTTGGTTGGTTTTTTTTAATCGACCTCCATCCATTATCCTTTACTCATACAAATAAATTTCTAGGCCCCCTCCGACCCTCCCCCATCAAAAATTGGGCAAAAACGGGCCGGCCAAATGACTTGCTTAACGCCTAAGTGGCCGCAATCATTACATTAGGGGGTTAGTGCACTGCCAGATGCATTTGCCAAGCCCCAGTTAACCCTGACGGACAGACACTCTTCTTTCGATTTCATCGGCGAAGATTACTCAAGGATATAAAGGCAGATGGGGGGAGGGGAAGCCAGAAATTGAAAAATTGCTAGATGATTTCGGAGACCCCTGCGTTTAGTTGGGAGAAAATAAGAGAAGGCGGAAAAAAAGATCAATTTGTGGAGGGGAGTGTCGTGATGGCAGAGAGTACCGTCCCTACGTGGTTGGAATGATGAATTCAGGAACGGACTGCGACTGGATGGACTTTTCTTTTTTGTAACTGACTGGGTTGAAAAGTACAGATCTATGCATTGCACTTTGAACCAAGGGAAAATCATCTCCCTTCCCCCAAAAATCATGCATGGTTAAATTACAAAGTGTCCCACCTGTGTATCTATATGGTTCACTTGGTAAGTTTTCTCCAAATCTAAAATCGTTGTTGCAACGAGTCATGAACAGCAGCATACTTTTTCCGAATAGTAATTAGCTCAACAAAAAAATGAGTACCTTAATGTCTGAAAAGAAAATATGCCCCTCAAAAAAAAAAAAAATTGAAAGTCTAATTAAACTTTGCACTCGGCATGTCAACCCACACATGCACGTACCCATACACGCACACCACTGGACAAATACTTTTTCTCCATCCTTTTCTCTTTTCAATAATCATCATCATCATCACCTGCCGTGTCTGTACAATCAGATAAGAGTGAGGAGAGAGAGACCGGCCAAGTGTCATGCCAGCGTGTGCGTCGGTGCTGGCCCCCCCGCCACACATCAGTCTTAAGCCGCTGAGGTATTGATCACTAGTCTGCACCCAGTCATGCTTCTTAGCGCCAACGCTTAAAAGCCGCGTTACTAAGTAATGGACTTCAATTTCAAGTCTATTCAATCGTAATGGTGCTTTTCCATCAAAAGCTGTCACGATGGCTCTTTTTTTATTCTTCATCTTCTTTCCTCTGTACTCTGTTTTTGTCACTTCAGAAAATGTACATTGCAGGGTGGTGGGACTTATTCTAGCTACAGAATGAGTCTATTTTGGTATTATGAAATTGGGAATCAGTGTTAAAATTGAGTCGACGGCGTCCTGTACCGTAAACTGAATCAGTTTGCATTGCAGTTATGGCAGGGGATACAAATAAGTTCAGACACAACCTGTAGACAAATTTACCTTTCAAACCAGAGACTGCTTTTATAATTTGTTAACACCTTTAACCAGTTCGCGTCAGAGGACGTGATAACACCCACTAGCTGCTTCTGTACACAGGCACGGCTGACGGCTTAAAACGTCAAGATTGCCTCGACTCGCCTCCGGGTGACGTCTACACACGCTAATCCCTCGTGTCTTTTGTACACACACACAGATTAAGTCTGTGAAGTCTGTGGAGGCGGACCGTGTGTTGATCTTGAATTGGCCGTTGTGCATGGCCTATTGTTGTACAATTTACGCTCCAGTGCACACCCCGGAGTATGGAAACATATGAGGTTTCGGCGAGAAATATTGTACAAATACTGTTGAAATGACTCTTGCGAATCAGTATTTGTGGTGTTTGGCTGTATATCAGAAGTTGGCTGGAAAATTTTGCCTTTTGTGAAAATCGAAATTTTCAGCATAAATAATCCCAGTGCAAAGCGGTTAAAAGTTGACGGACTTGAAACTTATCTCTGATCATTGATAGTTGAAATTTTGAAACATTGAGAGGAAAGATGCTGGCTGTAGTTACACTTCTTGATTTTGCTATGGACAGTCCCACATGTACATCTGTTCAGAAGGTGTTTTTTTCCAGAAATGAGGGGGGCTGGGCACAGTGGCCCAGAAAGTTTCAATACAGAGAGGCAAGTTCCAGCAAACATTGACTAGTTAGCTTTTGTTATAAGATTTTAGGCTTTGCATGGTGGAGTATCAATATAGTTTCGGTTTGCGGTAACACCATGAGGTAATAACTGATTTAGTTCTGACAAGAACTGTCCTGCTTAGTTCAAAAAGAATTTGTCCTGCTTAGCCTAGTATCTACTTTCGCTAAGTAGGTTGGAAGGCAGTTGGAATTCTCGCAATTATCTTCACTGAGGCTGAGTGAGATAAGTTTGGTCTCAACGTTTCGACTAGCCTGCTCTAGTCATCGTCAGGAGACGATGGCTAGAGCACTGCACTGATCTGAGCACTGCACTGCAGTATCAGAGAAGATGTACGTGCATTTTTATGTTAACACTGTTAACATTTTACATGTAGACTGAGGTGGAGCTGAACTTTAATTTTCTCAAGAGATATACACCAGGTACACACGTTTTTTTCTAAATACAATGTAGCTCTCAACTATGTATTTACAAAAGTTGCTATTTTTCATTTTCTACACAGTGAAGGATTCTGAAGTATTCCTACATGTACATGTACATATACATGGGTCGTTCTATAAAAAAAATTGGGGTCCAAATGTTTTCCTGTCTCTGTTACATCTGACATCTATGATTCTACAATCTGATGCACACCTTAACCCTAAACTCCCTACTTAGTTTTACTGAGTAGAAGACCATGTCACTCACTCTGTTTCACATAATGCTTCAAGACCAAATCCATTGCAATCCACCACTGGTGCTGGTGGATTTGGTGGACTCGGTATACCCCGAAATGGGGATGAATTTTGATGGAGTTGGTAAGGTTATATGGTTAATGCATTCATCCTCCAAGAGTGATGAATAGCAAACTACCTACCCAACAAATTAGAAAAATGTTGTTTGAAGTCATTCTGAATGGTACTAGAGTAGCAACTTTAAAAGTACCATGTCAACAGAGAGAGGAAAAAGTGTCACATTTTTGGACCCTAAATTTATAGAATGACCTATGGGCAGCTTTTGAGCCTCTGAAAACGAACATTTCTAGCGCTCTGAAGATCTGTATGTCAGTTTCTTGCATTTGAAAAAAAAAACAGCAGCAAATTCCAATCCTGTAAATAACATTTAGGATAGTGAAAGAAAGAGATATGCAATCCTGCTGTATCCTTTTGAATGGTTGAAGATTTTGTTTGGGGACATATCTAGACCAGACTGCGGGCCTATTGGTAAGATATGACACCACCTGATGGATGGCCAATCTACCGATGTCAACAACAATTACACTTTTGGATGCCTCTGCCGGTAAAGATGGATGTATTTGAACACAGGAGCTGAACAATCAGTCCCAAAAAGAAAAAACCATTGGCAAATACTCAACCAGGGAGACCAGAATAAGAGAACGGGAGACAGAGAGAGAAAAGGAAGGGGTTACCCTGATGTGCGCCAATTTGCGTAGATTGTGTTTTCCCACCTAAAAATGTTGGCAAACCCTTGCTTATAAAAGTGTTATGGATGAGGGGCAAAGTGGAGGTTGACAGATTTTTTTCTCCTGGCACAAAGGGGGAAAAAGTCCAAGAGAAAGAATACCTGAGTGCAGTGCTGCTTTTACTTCAGTGTGCACAGCCGGAAAAACCCGGCCTGCTACATTTACAGAAGAAGAAAGAAAAAAATCGCAGAGTAATGATCCCGCAGAATAAATATGCACATTACTCAAGATGATGTGCACTTACTTGGAGAACTTGTTTTTCGGAGTGAATTTCAGGGGCAAAGACAGAAAAAAACAAGAAAAAGAGAATCGTACGGGATGTTTGTATTTAATCAATGGCTGTTAACAGTGCAGGAGAATTGATTGCGGCCATGGCCCCGGATGATAATTTTCCAATTAATTATGTGCTCAGTTTGAAAGACAATATGTGGCAGTTGCCTGGATTGGAATCTGAAGTGAACTAAATATATGGAGTCCCTGTGGGTATGCAGGAGTCATGTTTAGCGGCAGATGGAACGACAGAGAGAGAGAGAGAGAGAGAGAGAAGAGAGAATGACAGAGAGGAGAAAAAAATCCCAACGCTTTGTTCCAGTCCAGTTTTTCGAGCGGACAGAGTGTACATGTTTGCCTTTGCATGGAATACCACAGTCGGAACAGCAGTTGTGATCCAGAAAAGTCAATGTTTGATTTAGACAGATGCAGACAATGACAGACTCTCACCCCCATACCCCCCCCCCCCCAAAAAAAATTGAAATGAATTCCCGAATGTACAGAGCAGCAATTACATGAATTGAATGCCCTTAGCGACTCATATTTAACCCTGGAGTGACC